CAAAATCGTACGACAGGCAGCTTTCGTGCCACTGCTCGTCGACAATATGCTCGCAAGGTTTACGATAATCTGGAAAAGCAATTTATGAGTTAGTTGTATTATGGTTTTTTAACATTAATAATTTTTATCTATTCTATACTTAGACGATGACGTCGAGGACAATTGGGTGCATGTTGGATGTTCTCTAACTAACAATGCATGTATTGACTATTCAACACAATATGGCACGACTGCCGATATGAAGACAGTCTATCTTGGTTCCGGCTGTGATGTACAATGTTCTGACAGCGATAAGAAAATTTGCTGTTGTTATTGTCCGACTTATGATTCCGATCCCGAAGGAGAACCGTTTGAACCATACTGTAGCTGACCGTATTCCTATAATATGGTTTTTTTTCTTCTGTTTCGAAATAAACACAAAAAAACGTATCATCTGCTGAACAGCCAATGCGTCAAATGGAAAGAAAATTAACTCAGAGACTAGCTCATATTCCATTCACATACATTAAGTAATATTTAAACAAATTAAAACTGTTCTCTTCACTACATATAATATGAAGTCTTGTCTCTTTTGAAAGTAAGCAGTTAACAATAAGTTTCAATCGATATATAGTGATTCACTAATAATGAGACAAAATGATGATTGAAAAGGAGAAGATTGATTCTGAAAATATTGTGCAACATACAAAATATAATGAAAGAAAGAAAACCATATTTATGAAGATTCTTTTCGAATTCTAAAAAGCATCAAAGGTGTTTGCTAGGGTGTAAATGAAAGGTGCGTAGATTTGAGTTTAGGTTAAGATATGACTTGGGAGAACATCCACATCCTTATCCATATCCTTACTCATATTTACACTCATACAATCCAATTACATCGAATGAAACATTTCAATGCTTGCGAAGCATTGCTCGTCATACTTATTGATACGACTATGATTGATTACCTCAACAGGTAACAAAATTTGAGTACAGATGAGAAAAGATCTTATATTATGTACAAGAGCAAAGCATCTGGAAAGCCTCATTCGAGTGCGCCCATAATTGCACACAAATGAACAATGTGAACTTTGCTGTTTGCTTAACAATCTCGAAAACAAATATCTAGAGCTTTTTCCAGAATGTCTACGCAATTTTATTTTGATAGATTTGAATCGAGTTTCTTCATCATCTCGAACCTTTGCTCTTGTAAAAACTGATAAGAATTCTACGGAAAGCGAGTCATAGACAAGAGTGTGTGGATATGGGTGTGGGTGTGGTTGGAAGTGGGATGTGGGTGCGAGTCGGCGTAGGGGTGTGAGGGTGTGGGTGTGGGTGTACATCTGGGCGAAGAGAATCTCAGATCCCGCCCACATACAGTCACAGCCACATCCCTACATAGTCGCTTTGCTTCGTTTATAGTCGACCTCAAAAACCATAAATTTAGCATTGAAATACGATCAATCTTATTTCCATTTTATCGTTTCTCGCCTGAATCCATTGTAATAGATAGATTGTTGTCCACGAATGATTTGGCAACGAGAAATGTTTGATATTAGGTCATCCATCTCTCCATCAATTTGCTTTTTTTTCTCAAATATCTTAATTGTTTTTCTATAGTCTTGTCAATGAAACTAACACAAAGGAAGCCAAATGCCAATATAAGTTGATTTTCTTTCGAACATACTGCAACTGTTTCATGTTGTTCAATTGTGATTGCCTTGGTTTTTTTCTTCTTATTTTTCCAAAAATAATTTCAGTAATCACGAACAAGTACTTATGAACTCTATTTTATTTTTTTCCTTCTGACCTCGCCCATGAATGGGAATGATCCTGTGTCTTGTGGCCACTGGAAAATAAGCCCTCTATGTGAAATAAATGATCGACTCACACGCTTTCATTCTGTATCACGTGTTAGTCAGCTATCCAAATTATTAAATTTTAAAAGACGTGTATGTGCCTGACATGTACGTTGTCATTGCCATCAAACGACCTAATAATAACCATAGATAGCTAACATTGTTCTAAATTATTACATGTGTCATATTGTTTTTCATGCATCAACTTTTTTCAATAAACGCGACTGTCTAGCCAACTCAATCTTGTCTATTAAGAAATATAAAAACAGAAAGAGAGCAATATTTCTCTTTTGATTTCAGTGGCGATAGCTATTGCAGAGTGGATATTCGAGACAACAGTAAGATTGTGGCTAGTCAAAGACTAAGCGAACGAATTCCTTTCGTTGGTTGAAAACCATATGACAAAAAAAGTGCCATCGACATTTTTGAATCTTTTATCTTGTTATTATCGATCCATTTGAAGAATTTGTATCTCTCTTTGATTCGGACATTGAGTAAAGTTGCATTCTAGTTACAATGTGTTTATTAGTTAAAAAATTTAGGATCGATTGCTAGTGTTCTCGATATCCTAACTTAAGAGTCTAGGTCCTATTTCATTTGACGAGCTGCTTTAGAAGACATCGTATCATGGATACATACATATACATATAGAAGATGGAAATGAAGTTTAACCGACGAATATATTTAAGTCAAATAGTTTAATTAGAAGCTAAGGTATTGATTATTAATTATCAAGAACTAGTTAATTTTTGCACACATCGAAAGTGAGGGTAGAGCAAGCACGATCAGCGAAAGGAAAAACAAACACAGAAGAAAAGCAAACGATCACAGATGCAGATAAAGTGATATTCATGACATGATCGACTTGAAGAAATCAGTTGATAACAATTGCTGATATAATATATTCAAGCTTTTTCACATCAAGCTTGGAACGTCCATGTCAACTTGAAAAGCTGAACTGATTCTGAACTTTACTTTGATTAAAGCTTTCAATTAGAGAATATGTATTTTTTTCTGTAGGATGTGCAAAATGCGGAACCAATGGAATTCTGTTGGATATTTGTTACTTTGGTGTTGGTGGCTAAGCCAGGTCAGGGACGTGTTATACTTTACAATACTGAAAATAGTGATTCACTGGAGCATTACGATTGCATCTACTATATTAAAAATGGGGAAATAGTTCCATACTGCTGTTGATCAATGCAAACAAGTTTGCACCAGTGGAAACAGAACAAATGTTTTAACGAAGGGCAAATATAGTATTTCAGTGATTTACTTGTGCAAGACATTGGACCCTCGGAAGTCTCGCAATGAAGTTCGAGTATAGAAATGGCCGACAACTATGCTCAATGCTTCTACAAAGATATAATAGACAGCAATAACACGAAATTGTCTGTAATAGATGTGGCGAGATTTCTTTGCCATGGGTAAAAGAGCTCCATTCTGTTTCACATTTTGATTCCGTAAGGATTGGATTGAAAGCTTTCTACTCAAGGGGCAAGTGCTGCATCACCGCACCAAATTTTTATCAAAGGTGCTGAGAATGTGCTGAGATACTGAAAAAGTGTCAAGGTGCTGGGGCTTCCAAACCTGCACAATCCCTCTTGCATTTGCCTTATTGGGATGATTAGGAAGAAGAGATTTTCCATAGATTATGAGTGAGTTTTCGTAGAACGTTAATGTAGTTGAATAGAGGGGTGTTCAAGAACTGAGAAATAGGATTTCTTTATCAGTTCCTCACAGTTTTATGACTGCTAAAATAAAAAAAATGCAATGCTCACAACGCTTTTGCTTTCACATTCGTATACATCAAGGAATTTGTGAACATGAATGTGTGGGTGTTTAAACTATTCTAGAAAAAGCATCACTTTGGCTTTTATGCATGGGAGAACTGTGAGCGACCTATCGATTAATTATCGTCTACCGTAGAAATTATCGTAGCTCTGTTGAGAGTTCCTTTACAGCTTAAGAATTCTCATTTCTTGGTTTTTTGAACATTACTGATTAAATACTGACCTATTGTGCGGTGCACACCAGCAATGTTGTTGTAAGTCGTGGCCTAGTCGGAATGATTCAGAACAGGACTCTTTCGTTCCATATCAAGCACTTTTTGATAGAACGAAAGTACGACAGAATAGATATACTTTTGTCTTCATGAACCGAAGCGAAATTTTTGTATGTCAACGATAAATCAGGATGATTGGTAAAAAGCGTTAAGGCCTAGAGTTGAAAGTGTCTGATGTTGGATGAGCAGATGAAAGATATTTTTGATGAATTTAGAATGTTTTTTCTTGGTGCAACAATACACTTCAATAGTCTGCTATTGTATCACATCCGACACAGATATTATTGTGAATACTAGCTTGTAATGATTGATTTGGATAGGGCGAATCTCATGGTAATATATGTGAGTGACTTCTGATTAATGCAGACTGCATGCTAATGATCACCTTTTCCATCTTGGTATATTCAAGTTGATGATAATAATGAGAATGGTCTTTCTTTTTATTCGATCCAACTGAACTAATGAATATTCATTAAAAAAGATGTGGATGTGAGCGGAAATGTTTGAGTGCCGGCACCGTTCTTGTCTTTACATTTACACCCTCAAATTTAAAGAACTGCTTTCGTCAATAATACAATTTTTTAATATTTTTGAGCCCCATACTCACTAATAAACAAATTATAATATTAGGTAACAAAACAAGATTTCAATAACTTTTTAATGAGATGTATTATTTGAGAATACTCCTATCGAATTTTATAATTTTCGTTCTTTTCTTCTCAAATCATAAGTGTGTTTAATAAAACAGTCACAGATATTACATGTCTAGTAAACTGGCCTAGATTATTATCTGTGTCATGTGTAGTTTAGTACAATATTCTAATATATTTATATGTGCGAAACCATTCAGTATATTCTCGCAAATATACAAGTTTCTGTTTTCTTTGATTTTATGAGAGATTTAATATCACTGAAATGACTAGAAGACTTTTATTGTTTTGATAAAAACACTCAATAAGATAATTTACAACATATAAAAAAACAAAGTATTGAGATTGCACAAAAACTGACTGACAAAAATACACAATGATCACAATAAAAGTAATCTTATAGATTTAAATATGCTCATGATGATGATGTGAATGCGAATGTCAATGTCAATGTTGACATTCATCTTCACATGGCTTAAATTGAACTCGTTGACGAATAGATAATGGTGTATTTTTCGATGAATGAACAATACCATTTGCTGGTGCTGTTGATAATAAAGCAGTTGCTGTGGATATTGATTCATCAGATAAATGTTTTCTTGACTGATATTCATCATTATCGTCTAGTCTAAATTATTAAAAACAATTGTTCGAAGAAATACATATGTAAAACAAAAAACCACATACTTCCAATCAGAATGTGTCACTACACCAACACCAACAAGACACATACCAATAAAAATAACCAAACAAAAAACAACTGTAAAATTGACTAAAGGCTTCTGTTGAATAGAAATGGATTATTAAATTTTGAAGGATAAACAAAGGATCTATCTTACACGATATGCTGGTAATTCAAAATATTTATTGACTGTTAAATAAGCACAAACTTCAGCATGCATTTGGTCTAAAACATGAAAACAAACTTCTTTTTTTCCAATAGTTCATTCGTTTTCAAGATAAAATCTTGCAGTTCAGTCTGATTTTTCCGGTATAACTTCCTTTGAAATGTGTTCGCAATTCGAATATGAGACATTGAATTCTCGAAAATAAAAGTTGTATTTTTCTTCTTTTCAATTCATAGTCTATGATAACTTATTGCAATCAAATTTCACGATGTTGTTTTCAATGTTTCCGAACTTCTACAATTAGTCTCTTTCTTATATACATAATAAAGTAGGATTGACGATCATAGATAAAAATATGACTATTGATTTATATTGAAGTAGATTTTATAGATTTAAGGTTATCCCCTCGTTGGAATTACTTTTGGCTCTCCGCGAGAGTACAATCGATTAGGTTCAAATTTGTACCATAGCTAGATTATTGAAAATGACGGAACTAACGCTTGTCTCTAACATCTATCCCATCATTTTCGACAATCTAACTATGACAAAGATTCGTGCCAGACTGATGGTACTCTTGCGAAGAACTAGAAGTAGTTCAAAAAAATAGAGTACCTTAAATAGAGGGGAAAATTTCCTTTTTTTTTTGCACTCAATACTCACGTTGTAATTTAACTCGCGTATCATAATTAACATTTTCTGGAATACATTGATTAATCAGTAACTAAAAATTATCGATATAGAACAAATAAAAATTTCTTATTAAAGAAAGAATAGCAATCTTTGACTTACAGTACAATGAGTTCGTAAAGCCATAAGTTGTTGTTGATTAATAATTTTTCTAGCCTTTCGTTTTGTTCCTCGAGATTCACGTGTTAATGGATTTAGAGATTTTAAAGATTTTTTTCGTCGTTTTAAAACATCACATCGAAAAATCGAACAATAATCCGATAGACATATTGATTGTTCACTCTAAAAATATAAATTTTATTTTTCTAACACAAAAAAAAATGTTTTTTAACAAAAATCTTCTTACTTTTAATAATGTATCATTATGTCGATTAACGAAATGCATATCAAGATAATATTCTGAATAGAATATTTTATTACAATATTTACATTGCCATTTATCATTTGATATTTTTATTTTATTTAATTCTTGTCGATAAAAAAGATCACGCATTGGTGAAAAAACACATTCAAGTGGAATAGCTATATGATTTTTTTCATAAATCGGGCCGAGTGCCTATATGTATTTCAAAAGAGAAAATAAATTTAAATTGATTGAAAATTAAATTACTCGTGTAAAATAATCACGAACAACTCGACTACCTTCACGTGAGCATAGTTTATTACAAAGAATGAAAGAGGACTAAAAAAAATTTTAAGATTAATAAAAAAAATATTATCATATAACAAATTTAACATACAAGGTCCCATATAAGGATAAATAAAATATAAACATTCATCGTATCAGCATTATATCTAAAATACATGATTTTTTTCCTTTTCAGTTTTATTAATGCCATGAACATCAGTCAATAAGAGTTAGCTAAAAAAAAGATTGTGTATACAACAACATAAAATATGTATATCACATCTAATATAAATATTGAGAATAATACAAAAAAAACACAATGAGATCTTTTGTTCGATTTTTATCACAAATAAAAAAAATGATTGTTGGCTAATTAATATATTGACGTTTGTCTTAGACGGGTTTCATCTGTGACATAGACGAATGGGCTAAAAATAAAATTTATCAATTAGATTCAATCTTACAAATATTCATCTAGATAGACTCAATCAATCTTAAATTTATAGTAAAATCTAACATGTTTTTTTAGTATTTTTCCTGAAAACAAAAAGGAATCCTTTTTTATATTATAGAAATGTTGCACCAACTTTTCAGAATTTGTGGGCATTTCTTGTGTATCAAAAGATGAGTTTGTAGACTGCTGATTTTGTTGTTCACAATCAATAGGATTCATACTTGTTGCTGATTTTTTATGTTTGGCTGTATATTCAAAATAACTAAACATTGTACCAGCCAATAATGATAATGTAATACCAATAATTGTATTGATATTTATGGAAAATCGATCAAATACAAACAAACCAAAAAATACTTGTAATATACTTTTAAGTACACCAACCACACTAAATAGAAAAAACACAGAATTTTCCTTTTCTATTATCAAACATTAGTTTAAATAAAAACCTTGTTGTTAATGCTGAATTTTTCATTATACACCAAAATGTTGTACCATTCAGTAAGCCTCCGCCTAATGTTGATGCTAAGAAATATAACCAGAAAGAAAATGTTTTATAACCATTATATGATAGTACACTAGATAATTCATCAGATAATGTAATCATTACAATAAATACTATTGGCAATGATATTAGACTATTAATATAAAGAACTTCAGATGATGTTTTTTGTTCACCACATCGTTGTACTGTTAAAAGATAGAATGATTGGAATATAACACTAAGACTTCCAATTATATAAGATTCCATATGAAAAGTTAAATCACTAATTGATGTTATTACAGCACCAGATGTTATAGCTAATACACACAATCCAGTTTTAAAATCAAGTTTTTTCTTTTTTAATACAATAGATTGTAAGAGAAATGTAAATGCTGGTGTGCAACGCTATAATACAAAAATATAAATATTAAATTCAATAATGATCAACAGAGAGATCTACTTTTCTAACCCTTTGGACCGATCGATGTTTTAATAAAGAACTTATAATCTTTCTCTAAAATTTCATAGATCTGAATCTTTTTTTCATTCCCATAGAAACATATTTGAAATTAAACGATATTTTCAATCTAGCCTCATTCAACAACATCTGATCTTAATATTCATGAACAAGACGACTAAATAGTTCATTTTGAATATTCTTCTTTCAATAAACTATACTTACAAATATGAAAATTAACTTACCTTAATCACAATATAAATAGAAACATTAAGTTTCATAAGTGCTTGTAAAGATAATATGGTACTTAAACTATAGAAAATGGACGGAACAAGAAATGTATAAAAATCATTGTGTGTCATTACTGGTACTGGCATCAGACGAATATAGCCAAGTATTTGGAATGATAAAATTACAAATAGAAGTTGAACAAAAACAACAAATAAACTATTTTGAAAATCGCTTATTTCAAAAAGAGCTTTATTAAGAAAAGCCATAGAAAAAGATAAAAAACCATAAGTAAGCATTGATGGGAGGTGTAACATTTTTGGCTTTTTTTGTATCTTAAAGAAAAACAGGAAAGCAAAAAGTTTAATAAAAGATTTTTTTTTTTGTTCTGCTTTTTCTTTTAATTAAATTTTTATTTCATTGTTGTCGTTTATTACATAAGATAGATTTTTGTTTTTACAAATTTTATTTTCAATTATTATTATTGTTTTCATATGTTGAATGAAGATTAAAGTTTGATCGTTGAATAACTGAAAAATAATATAAAAAGCAAAACATAATTATAATAAAAATAAATTCATCGAAGTAATACTTGTCCGAACCAGTCGGCGTCGATTACTCCAATCGAATTATTGACATAATTCACTTAATCACTAAATAAACAAGCATCGAGTGATAACCAGAAATTAAAATAAAACTGATTTTCGCTATTGAATCTCTCTTTCCTATTCTTATTATTTTTTTTTTTCGAACCTTTTTATATCTCGCAGATAAGCACTGGCTATAGACCAATGTTGATCTAGCAAGACAAAAAAAGAAATAAATGATAATAATAAAATAAGACAAAAAAAAAAAATTTCAAATATCTTGCCTACTCCTTTATTTCCAAATAAAATGAAACTTAATCCATAAATTAAACTTTCTTTATTATTTGATAGAAATATAAATCCAAAAATTTTCTTTTATCATACATGTCGAAATCAATAAAGATGATCATGTGTTTCAATCTCTCTTTAGTTATTTCTATGCATCATTGTCCATAAATCCTTAAAGTAGAAGAAGAATAAGATAAACAAATATTGAAACAAGTACAAGAAGAAAAAAAAAAACAAGAAACAAAATCTCTGCTTTGTTGTGCTAATAAATATTACACACAACGAAAATCAAATGATATATTTTTTTTTTGTTTAATATAATTGTACAAGATGAAGAAGAAAAAATGAACGAAAAGAGAAATTATAATAAATGATGATTTTCCTTATTTTTTTTTTGCTTTGGACGGTTATAATAGAAAAAGAAAATCCTACATTCTTTTTATTTTCTTTTATATTATTTCTTTCACTGTCGTTCTTGAATAAATGGATGTTCAAATGATTGTTTTATATTTAAACGTTTTTGTGGATCAAATATAAGTATTTTATCTAATAAATCTCGAAGTTGTAAAACTTTTTTCATTTGATCTTCTGGTAAACGTTGATGACCAATTAACAGTGATAATAAATCTCGGCATGGATTTATATTTGTTACTGTTGTTATTTTATCCTAACGAAAAATAAGAATATAATAAAATTTAAAAAGTAAAATAATTTAACTTACTCGTTCTGTTACTTTATCAATTTCATGATAAAGAAAATTACAATCACGATCAAAATGTTTCTCTTTTAACATTCCTTTTCGTATTATTCGATTTGGAATTTTTCCTTTAAGATCCATCATTAATTTTAACATTTCATTATTGGATTTACCCGGAAACATAACTCGACCAGTATATAATTCATAGATAGTTACAGCAACTGACCATAGATCAATTGAAAAATCATATTGCATACCAAGAACTACGAAGAAAAAAAAAATTAATTTCAATTTTGTTTTTGTTGTTGTTTGTTTTACTTACTAATTTCTGGTGCACGATAAAATCGACTAACTAAATATGGTGTTATTTCACAATCTGATGCTAATGATGCTGAACCAAAATCACATAATTTTAAATATAATTTTGTTTCATTAACTAAGATATTATCAGGTTTAATATCTGCATGTAAAATATTACATTTTTTTAAATGTTTAAGTGCTAACATTAATTGTTGAGTATAGGACCGAACAGCTTTTATACTTAAACCGATATCTTTACCATATTTTTTAAGTACTTCACGTAAATTCATACTAGAATTAAAAATTACTTTATTGATTTTATTGTTTGTTTGTTTTTCGTTCATCTTACCTAAGTGGTTCAAATACAAGACATAAATGATTTCGATGTGTAAAATGATTTAATAATCGTAAACAATGATAACGATCATCAGCATCATTTTCATTTAATTTACGTAAAAATTCTAATTCTTTCCAACCAGTTTTATTCCTAAAAACAAAAAATAAAATATAAAATATTTTCTTATACAAGAAATTTGACATTAAATAGAACAATTATTGTTTATATGAAATTAATTTTATGACTCTATATAACCTTGCACTTTCAGTTCATTGGACTATAGAGTAGACATAAGTGGTACTAAATTATTTTGATTTCAATGAAAAAAACAAGTCAGATCACATTTTATACTCAGAAAAATAACCTAACTGTTATACTGCGAACCATTTAATTGCTAATATTCTCCTTGTTACAGATTAGCTGCTTTACTTGCCATACTCAATAGAGAAATTACATTTTTATGAATAGCTCAAAGTAACTAAAAGTGTAAAATCGTGTCAAATACGAAACATTGTTTTATTATTATACACTATCATAACGATTTTGGTACGGTTTGAATTACATAAGTTCAATTTTTCGTACTCCATCCGAATCTCTATTGTCCGTGCGGACGTACAGGTACGGGTACATGACTCGTAGGTTGCATTACTGTAACATATCGCTATTAAAACAGCAATCTTAAAAACACATATTTTTAATAAATCAAACAGTTAAATATGAATTTCGACCAGAAAATAAAGTAGCACTTTTCCTATTCAAACACTTACTGCAACTCTTTTTTAGACCGTAGACTTATCTATGTTATAATATCCAAAGAGAAAAAAAACTAACTGAAATATAGAATTCTAGTATTTTTAATTTTAGATAAGATATCATTTGTTAGAATAAAATTTTCGTTTAATACTTACATAAGTTCATTATTACGAATAATTTTAATAGCAACTTCTGTACTTTTTCCAGTTGATTCTTCTCGTGCTCGAACAACATTTGAAAAAACACCTTGACCAGTAAATCCAAAAATTTCAAAACGATTATTTAATATTTCTCCAATATGTACACCTAAAAAAATTAAAAATTTTATTTTTATATTCAGAATAAAAAAAAAAACAATACTTACGATAATATCCTTCGGAATCATCCCAATTATCATTTAAATGCGGATTTTCACTTTCTTTTGCATGACCTTTACGACGCCATGCACCGGGACTCTAAACAATCGAAGAAAAGGAAGAAAACAAAAAAAAATTTTTTTTCTCCGAATTTTTTTAATATTTACATTTGTATCTAGGAACTCATCATCAGTAGCAAACATATCATAATTACTTGTAACAGCTTTTCGCCTTTCTAATTCTTCATTTCGTAATTGATTTGTGATTGATGGAGAATTTGCATCTTTTCCTGCCAGTGGTTCATCTATAAAAGAAAAAAAAAGTGAAATACAATTTATTTAAGAATAAAAACAAAGTATTTACCATCTATTGTAGCATTTCGTTTATCTTCTGCTACTTTTTCAAAATCAATAGTTTCTTTTTCAATACAATGATTAAGAAATGCTGCTTGTTCATCTTCATCATCAATATTTATTTGTGCAACAACTGATGATGGTGGTGTTGGAGTTGCTTCTTGTTGTTGATTTTGCATTGCATCACTATCCATTGATGAATCATCAACGAGATTCTTTTCGATTAATTTCTAAGCAGAAAAAAAAACACAAGTTTGAAATGTTAAAAAATTAAATTTTTTTCTATTTTACTTGTTTTAACTGTTCACGTCGAAGTCGTTGACGACGAATTATTTCTTCTTCCGTTTCTTCATCGGGAATTTCAATATCATTTCTATGAAACAAACAAACACAAATATATACAGACAATGTTAAAAAAATGTATATGTTAAGTTTCTCTAGATACTCCTGAAAAAAAAATCAGAGATAAAGACCTTTGTTTACAGAAGTTATTAGTAAAAAACTAGTATTAGTGATGTAACACAAAAAGAAACAGTGACTTTCATTTCATGTACTTCAGTTCAAAAAAATATCTCTTGATGCTAGAAAATATCTATCGAAAGTTTTATTCTAAGAATGCGTAGATTTTTCAAAAAAATCAATTTACTTTTTGTTACCGACATGACGGAATACGAATATACAAGTCAATCTTCAGAACCTCTAGGAAACTGATTTTTCATAGGAAGTTTTCTCAGAGTGCGATCTTGCTAAGAATTGTACCACAGATACGATTCGTACCGCATGATCTATCCTAAAACTTTCGTTCAAGAGATACTCGCTAATTTCTTTTCAATTAATAGTCAACATTTTTTCATTTGTCTATCCTAAAAAAACTTTATTCAAAAGATAGCTTATATATGAATATAAGATTTTTAAACACTTACTCGTCTTCATCACTTAATTTTGATTTATTTTCATGATGTTTACGTTGATTTGATCGTTTTGAATCATTATTATGCCTTCAAAAAAAGAACAAATTCTTCTAACAAATTTCATATATATATATTATTTATTTACTTATTCGATGAATCTGAATCAGTAAGAATAAATTCTTTTGAACTTTCACCAAATTGTATTACATCATTTTCTTCTAATTTATAGTAACGATTACTATCAATACGACGTCGATTAAGATATGTTCCATGTGATGAACCTAAATCAATTAGATATGGATAAATATGACGTCCATGAGAATCACTACGAAGACGATATTGTAAAACAGCATGAATATTTGAAGATGATGGATGATGTAAACGTATATCACATTGATCTTTATCACGACCAAATATATATTTTGATTGACGATAAACACGATATGTTGGTAAATCTTCACCATCTTTAGATACTGATAAACGCCAACGACGTTCAGGTACACGAGCTTCTGATGGCTCTTTATAAAATGATTTTATTTCATTTCGTCCATTTCGTGATGGTGGTTGACGATGAGAAATATCATCATCATCTGAATGCGAATTTTCTATATAAAATTAGAAATATTTATTCAATATAAACATTTTTTTTTTCTATTTGTTTGTTAATTATTTTGAATATCTCGAGAAGAAATAAAAATCTCTAGATTCGAATATATGTACATCTACTCAAGACTTTTGAGACTATCATGATTCGATCGATTGATCATGATCAGTAAGAAAAAATTGGTACCGATTGTTGAGTTGTGAACATTTTTGAGCTGAAATTTTGTTCATAGATAGGCCTTACAGTCACTAGAAACATCAAGAAATGTCAAATCTAAAATTGGTACGAATTTTGAAATGTATGTGTCAAAATTTCTACAAGTTAAAAAAAGAAACTTACGAATTCGAACTAATATAAATGTAATTATCTGTTCTTTTGAATTGTATCGCTAAGATGTCAGAAATTTACAGTTTAAAGAGTCATGGTGATGCTAGGGTTAAGATGTTGATTATAAGAGTACATTATTGAGATACAATGAATAGTCACTATCACCGTAACTGGGAAAATACTAATATCAACAAAATAATATTTCTCGTTTAATTATCTCTTATATCTGCTGTTCTGTTATTTATCATAGGTTGTTTTCGTCAAAAACCATAAATTTAGTAAAAGTTGGAAACAATTTGCTACATCTTCCGTATTTCAAAAGAAGGACCTTTCTATGAAAAGTTCATATCTCCATACGGATATGTTTATTCTAATTCAAGCTTTGAAATGTTACTAGCAACTATAAAACCTATCTATGAATCAAATGCTAGTTAAAAATTCTATCATCGATTAACATGCGAAGACCGAAAAATTAAATCAAAACAGCCGTATTCCCTATATATTATTAATCGAGCGAACAAATGGCAATACACTCAAGCGATTGAACATTTGTGAATATGCTCTCGTGAGCATTGAAAGAGAATACTGAAGTCAAAATTGATCATCGCCTAATAACAGTAAAAAAAATTCAAACTGAATATTATCAAGTTTGTCATATCCAATTCGAAACACTTCATCCGGTCAGTTCTTTATTTTCTATAAGACAACTTAACGATTCGCTAGCGTAAATAGTTTTGCTTCATGAAAATACTAGATTAATCATAAGAACAAACTTTTTCTTTATTGAAAAATTTAAAAAGAGAATCAAATCAACTTACCAGAATGTTTAATATTTTTAAGATTACGTGATGATTTTCTTTCATCATCTGATGGTGAATAATCAGATTTCTTCTTTCGTTTATTTGTTTCTTGTCTTGGTGATCGAGGCATTGTATCTGAAAAAAAAACAAATCCAATTTAATTTTTAATTCTATTTAATTTCTGTTTTTTTTTTTGTTTGTTTGTTTTTTAAGTTATTATTTCAAAGAGGAAAAATTAAAAAAAGAAAGCTTTTTAATTTTCATTTATACAACATACGATTAAACTGCCTATTTGATCATCATTGTTTGTATAATAGAACATAGGAAAAGTAATTATCCATTCAATATCATTTTAAGTGATATGATTTGTTGAAGAGAAACGACTCATCTAGAAAAAAAGAAAGAAAAACAGAAGATAACAAAACACAAACTGTTGTTGATAAATGAAGAATGTAAACTATATAAAAATGAAATATTTCAATGTATAAACTATTCCGTTTTCTCATCTTTATCTGATGAATCATCGAATGTTGATGCTATTGTTTCATCATTAAATGGTGATAATATTGATAAAAGCATAGCTTGAGCTTTTTCTTTTTGTCTTAAAGCACGTTTAGCTTCTTTAGCTTTTTGTGTTTCTTCTTTTTCATGATCTATTGCACGTAATTCACTTTGTAATTGTTTTAATTCAACATCAGGTACATAACGAAATTCATCATCAGCTATATTAGGTACATCAATTTTAAGTTCAACACCTTCAGGTATATTTAAACGTATACATTCAAATAATATTGGTGCAACTGTTGCTTTTACTTTAGCAAACTAAATTTGTAAAAATTACTTTGGTTTATTTTACAGGTTATTTCATATAATTTCATTCTTACTTTTACTATACGATGATATAAATTTAAATGATGTTCAACATCAATTTGTGTACTACGTGGTTTAAGTATGGTTACACGAGATGATTTAGCTGGAATAGCAACACTAATAGAATATATATATATAGAAATAATAGAGATAAATAAAAATAGAAAAATTAATCATTATTTACGCTTCAGGTACTTTAATATCAAGTGATTTAGCTAATTTTTGTATATATCGAAAATAACCTTCGAGTACAACATAATCATAACCTCGTATAGATATCGCCAATAATGCATAATTTGGATAAAGATCAGTTTCAAATAGATAGGGTGGTTCATAGATAATACCTCGATTTACTATTGGATCAGGAATAACACAAACAGTTTGAATATTTTCATTGTTGGTTTTAATACGTTGGGCAACATTATTTGATCTAAAATATTTCATCAAGAATAATTGTATGAAAATAAATCAATTAACTTACCTAACAAAACGTACAGATCGATATGTATGAGAAGAAATAAGAGGTACTAGTCGTGATAATATTGTATTCATTGAAATAGTAATATAGTAATTAAGCAACTAGGAATTGATCAATTCTAAATACAATGTCTGTTTCAAAGAATAAATAAATAAACAAACATTGCAGGAACCAATAAAAATGGACGAGTATTCTAGAATGTTTACAGCAAAAAAAAAAGAAACAAAAAGAGGTCGCTAAAATGATCTGCTTCATATTTTGGTAACGATGCTAATATAGTATAATAAAATTGACAATTCATTGATTGAGTTGGTTTACATCATTTTTCGATAGGATCATATATCATAGATATGTCAAGTCAAAAACAAAAATATCTTGTTCCATAAAAATCATATTCTTATGAAGTAATACAAAAATAACGAAGCTACTTATATTTAGAAAAATAAATTGTACGAAAGAAGCATTCAGACAAATTCTACATTATTCAATTAAAATATTTATACACTACCAATAATAATATGGGTTTGTTACTTTTTATTATATAGTTTCTATAAATTAAAGTAAACGAAAATGAGTTACAATTTTTTTCCTGTGTTCATCAATATCTAGTCGAAGAATATATCTTCAGTTCTAAGCTTAATTTGGTGATATTCGTTTCGTACTTTTTAAAACATTTCTCTACATTGATGAGCTGAAGTTTTAACAACAACAACTACTCAGGTCTAACAATAACACGATAGGATCTTGCACAGGTTCTCATAAGATTAAAAGAGAAATAGTAGATTTTGACCAACTTTCATCAAGACATAGTATACAGTGCTTACAAGATTTGATCGTCTGATTTTGTATAATAATAGAACATTTCACCATTAAAATTCATTATATTCATTCATAATTTTACACTATTTCTTGCAGATTAGAACTATCTTATTTAGAAGTGATTTATGCGTACAGTTCAATTCATTTTTATACCATATACCAGCTTACAATGTCACAAATGTACATATATAATCAATATTTGAATTTGTTGCTGTATAACCTGATTTAACTATATACCTGTATCTATAATATCCTTATGATTAAATCTGTATACTTATATCTTTAGATCTATACTCCACTGTCTATACTTTTCTAGTTATATTCTTGTGAATAAATCCTTATGGGTATATCTTATTGCCTAAATTTTAATCTTTATATCTTTATGCCTCTATGTTAAAATTACTAAAGCATTAATCCTATGTCCCTATGTTGTTGTCTCTATACTCTTATACATATATTTGTAGAACGATACTCGCATACTGTAGTAGTTGTGGTGCTCTCAATATACTCATACCTCGTATGACTGTACTCAGATGACTGATGTTTCATGCCTATGCCATCATAGCTATACTGTTAAATTGATACTTTGAAATTGTCTGATACATGTTTACAGGTGGGATGTAGTATTAATCTGCTTAGATTTATTTCTTGATTCACTGGTTTTCATGTTTGATTATATAACTGTATCTTGTTCTACGATTGCACCACTATGTTGCATTTTGTTAGTATGATTTCAGCTTCGTACCTTTTTATTGCTGTATTCCCAGTTAGTGTTATATATCAATCTCTGAATCGATTCACATGTATTGTTTATATCTTAATTGTTCTTGTCTATGTTATATTGTTATTCGATGAGATACTTATGTTGCTACTGTTGCAATGAAAAGAAGTTGCTCTTTGACTTAAAATTTTGCGATTCTAGCAAAAATCGAGAGACATCGATAAATGCGCAGCTTAGAATAAATTTTAGTATTTGATCTTATATAATCATATTAGTGTTCTGAAAGCTGTTCTTGTACGATTTTGGCTTGCGTCTTGCAATAGGAATCATTCGAAATCTTGTAAAAATGCATAGAATATGGTTTTATGTCCGATTTTTTTATCTCGATAGTATTTATTTTATTATACAGAAAACTTAAGTTGACAAATACTGCAAAATCATTTATTTTATACATTGTCTATGACATTTTTTAGTCATGAAAACATAATGGTGTAAAACTTATTAATCATTTGAAGTTTTTTCACTATTTCCTTACTAGTATCGTATTTCGGCATCGACTCTTCTGCTATCTCCATTCACAATTTGATAAGTTCGTCATTTAAAACAAAAAATACTTTTAATATAAAACGACATATATGGAACATGATGACTTCTATTCTCAAATTTTCTACATATATTCTGTTATTAATCTTTGATGAGTTATACATATCGATCTAAATTATTTGAAATAATATGTATGTAGTTTTTTAACATATGCAAATTGCATTCATGGTAGAAACATCTCTCATAGTGTGGTCAAACAATATGATGTGCATACGGCTCGTTTTCATATCGCTTATTACCGTAAACAGCTGTATATGGCGAAAACTATGAATAGTCGTAACCATGGTTTTGGACATCTGTATTGTAGTGAAATCTGGAAATGAGCATGTCTAAGTTAATAAGTAAATCTTCTAACTTAATATTGGTGAATGTCATTGTATGAGAAACGAAATTTTATCGAAAAAAGGCTAATAAAAAGAAGCTGTGTGATTTATGAAATGGATAATCATATATTTAATTTTATTCAACTTTTATTTTAGTTTCTTAGTTGATCTAAGTGAAATATAATAAATATTTTCTTGCTTGAATACTACATAAAATATCAATGAAAGTTCATATTAGGATGGATTTTTTATTTAATTTTTGTAATTGCGTGGATTGAGAGCATCGAGAACTTGATTGAGATCACCTTTTTTTGCTTTAATGAGTTCCGTAAGTACGCCATTCGAATCAACAAAACCCATTCCAGTCATTCGTTCAATACATTCCTCAATTTTCTTTTGTTCTTGAGTTTGTTGATCATCAGTTGTAGCTGTTGTTGTTGTTGCTGCTGCTGTTGCTGATGATGCTGGTGGTTGAAACATTGGAGCAAACATTGTGTGAAGTTGCTCAAGTAAATTACCAAATGGTGGAGCATCAACTGAAGCCGACGAAGCTCCTGTTGTTGGAGAAGCAGATGAAGGTTCTGTTGCCGAAGGAGCAGATGGTTTTGGCTCAGTACTTGTATTACTGCTTGCTGTTGCTTCTTCGGTTTTTTCTTTTGTTTCCGACTGTTCAGCTGTTGTTTTTGTTTGTTGATTATCAACAAAATAATCACAATCAATACCAAATGGTGAAAGAACTTCACGAAGAAATTGACCAATATTTTCTAGAAGAGTACTTTGATCAACAGGTTTGTCAGCTTGTTCACCAGCTTTAAATCGATTAATTATTTCATTAACTTTTTCCGTACGTAAATATTCAGGTAAATGAGTTTCAACTAATTCAGCTAATTCTTTACCCTTAAATTGACTGAGAAAATTAGCCATATCAGCTGGCATTGGAAAACCAATTGAAGAACCTTGTTGTCGGCGCATAAAATGATGCCAGAGACGAGAACCACCACCACATCGACCACCATTAAATGGCCCACGACCACAACGACGATGTCCACCAAAGAAATGTTGAAATGGACGAGTTAATTTTATCATATTATGTTCAGGATGAAGATTTTTATCCGAACATGCTTGACATAAATCATAATCTGGACATTCTGTACATCTAAAACAATATAAAGAAAAGTTAATATGATTAGAAAAACAAAATATATTATTCAGAACTTACTTATAACGATTACCAACTACAGAACCTTGACAACCATCACAAGTAACACCAGGATGAACTGTTGCATTTTGACTTGTTTCTTCTGGCTTTTTAGCTTTTGGTTTAACAAAAATTTTAATTACACCACCAAGTGGAATATTATTCAAAGCCGATCGTAGTTCACTATCAGATGAAAATGTAATACGATCATTGTCTTCATCCATATATTGTAATGTAAATTGACCTTGTGGATAATTACTATTCAATTGAGCAATAGTTGTTTCCAATGTTCGATAAATATCATTGCTTGGTGACACATCAACCTATAAATAGCTTATTGAGACTTAAATCAATAGTAGCTTAAAGAACTTACAGAAAATCGACGGATTTCTGGTTGACTTTCAACGAGATCATTGTAATAAGCTTTAACAATAACTTGTTGTTGCTGTGTAGACATGATGCTTGCTTTGCTTTAGTTGATTTGAATGAACAACATTGCATTTTCCTCGACCTTTTTATACTTCTATCATGGGGTAGATGAGTAATCATTAAAAAAATATAGAAGAAAGGGAACGTTACCTAAGAACGAAAGAGAACGCGTTGACGTGTCTCATGCATTGCAGCAAAATAAGAATCTAGGAGAATATTCACGTGCCTATTATTCATTATAAAAAGAAATGCTGGGTAATGCTGACAAGACAATTTTTATTTTCTAGCTTGTAGTGACTAGCAAATGTATGAATTAGTAAGCCCTTTCTTCTACATTTTCATTGTCATGTGAAATAACATCTGTCTAAGATCATTCTGGAATATTCATGACTATAATATAATTTTATTTTTTTAATAACAAAATAAAAAAAATAAAAAATCAAGAAATGAAATAATAACATAAATATATTTATTGATTTTCTTATGTTAATGCTCAGCTGACATCGCGAAAAATACATCAACTGTGCTAATATATGTATATTTATATATCAACGACGCAATTGCACATTTCTCAAGAAAAACAAATGAATCATTATATCATATTATATAAAAATCTTTATGTTTTAGACTTCTAATAGAAGAAACTACTCTTTAAATTGAACATATTGTTTCAGATATTTATATAAAGTGCCAGAAATGCGGAATTGTGTTAATGTTCTGGTTGTTGATTTTTCTTCTTCGCTTTATAGATGGAGCTCGTTGAGTTATTACTAAAAATATCTCTTGTTATTTCTTTTTTGGTACAGTTTTAATGTTTAGAACATTCAAGTAAAGTTTACCTGGAAGAGATGTGTATAATGTATATAATTATATCGAGAGTGGTCTATATTGACATACTCTTATATGT